GTGTACCGTCAAATCAGAGCTGACTGGTACAGGAGGAGATTATTCCTACTTCTCCAGCAGAGCATCTGGTGGATTTGAACCGTGCACCTCTGGGATTGCAGTACACCTTCTTGCCACTAGGCCACCAGAGCTCGCCATATTTTTCTATATAGCCTATTTCTCATAGAGAAGTCAGCTTGAGACTGATTCAGCCTGGAAAAGAGAAAGTATTAAAGATCCTATCATGTGGAAATGATAGAAGCTGGAGGGAGACATAAGAGGCCATGGAATGAGAGACATTATTATTGGTGTCAGGTGAATCTTGACGGAAAACAGATTACCAGGGAAAAAAAGTTTACGTATGTTTTATTGATTATGAAAAAGCATTTATCTCTGTAGATCACTGAAAACAGAGCTTACTAGAAAAAGGCTTACTTGTGTTCTATTTACTATGCCTTTTGCATTTATCTCTCTAGACATAATAAATTATAGATATCATTGCAAGAAATGAGAATTCTAAAACAATTATGTTCATAAGGAACCTGTACATAGACAGTACATACAGCAGCAACAGTTGTTTAGGAAACAAAGATACTCCATGGTTTAAAATGAAGAAGGTGTACACCAGAGTTTCCTTCATCATAGCTATTCAATCTGTATGCCAAACAAAGTATTGAATGTGTGGACCACATTAAGAAAAAAAAGTGGCACCAAGATTGGAGGAAGACTCATCAACAAAAATAATAACGAGCTCTGAAGCATTTTTTGAAGAAGTTCAAAGGCTCTAGCCTTCAGTATCATCAAGAAAACAAACATCCTCACAACTGATCAGTAAGCATCTATAAAAAGTACAGGCAGCATGAGAAAGACTGAGTCTGACCTCTACTAACTCTACAAGGAGGAACTGCCCCCCTGTACCTGCATCTACAGGATCCATAATACAAAATCAATTTGCATTAATTCAGATCTGCCCCCCACATTGCCTCATCTATTTCTGCTAATTCCATCACCAATCCTACTTCTCTGCTGTGTCCAAATCCATTGCAGTACCTACACAGACTTCACAGAAATGTACTTATACATATGAGGTTTATTAGGGAAGTAAAAGGGTTACTACTCTGGTTGGCAACAGGATATAATTTCTCAGTTAGGATAACTTCTGAAGTGCATGCCAGCCCTTCAGCCTTCACCTTGTGGCTTTAGGCCAGTGTTACAAAACTAACTTGGTCCTGCCAATTAAGGCATCTGCCCCCTCAGGCCCTCTAGCAAGCTTGTGCAAAGGCTCTCAGTTCTGGTTTCATAGGGCAGCAGTCCCATGTCAGCTCTGTCTCATGTCAGGTCTCTGGCTCTCTGCAGAGGCTGCTGCTGTTCTCCTCTAGGTCTGACTGGTGTAAAAATATCTGCCCCTGAAAGATGTTTATTGCATTCTCTGCTTCTTTCTTTGATTTAAACTTGATGGAATTGCAAAACTTGCCATTTTCCCTGCTGGATAGACTCATACATCCTAATTGTATGTTCCCACTGACCCATATTACAAAGTCAAGGACAGTGATCTATGAAAGTCATTTTGAACAAACGTCCCACTACACTGTAACATTATGATTAATGGAGAAAAGATTGAAGTTGTCAGTGATTTCATTTTACTTGGTTCCATGATCAACAACTATGGAAGCAGCGGTTAAGAAGTTAAATATGCTGCATTGGGTATATCTGCCTGCCAAGAACTTCTTCAAAGTGATAGAGGACAATAATGCTATTGTAATGATTAAGGTGTATGTGACCCAAGTGACAATATTTTCCATTTTTTCATATGCATGTGAAAGTTGAACAATGAACAAGGAAGACTGAAGTCAGATTGATGCCTTTGACTTTTGGTGGTGAAAAGTATTGAATAATCCCATGGACTGCTAAAAGAACAGAAAAATCGGTTTTGGAAGAAATGCAGCCAGAATGCTTCCTAAATGCAAAGATGATGAAAGTTCATCTCACATGTATTGAACATGTTATAAGGAAGGACCAATCCCTAAAGAAGGACAAAATGCTTGGAAAAGTAGAGAGGCAATGAAAAATGGGAAGAACTACAAGATGGATTCACACAGTAGCTGCAACAGTGGGTTGAGCACAGGAGAGATTGCAAGATTGATGCATAATTGAGGATGGTTTTATTTTGTTGTCACCTGGTTGGTATGAGTCAGAGCCAACTTGAGGGGCATCTAACAACATCATGTGGTAAGAAAAGTAAATTTCCATGCTGTAAAGCATATTTAGGATTAGGGTTGAATCAGTGCAGAATTTGTTACAGGGAACAGCTTTGTAACAATTAAGACTTTTTCCAAAATAGTGAGATTATCCTATCCAAAGAGTTTTCTAAGAGAGACAAGCATGCCCTTTTTAGGTTACAGAAAGGAGACGAAATTGTCGCTAAGAACCCGTTCAGTTCTGATCTTTATTAATAGTTATCAGCTAAAAGATAGGGAAAACATATGGGCTGTATTCAAGTGGAATAAAAGTGAGATCTGATTTACCTGTGTCTGTGTTTGTTTGTATTTGTATGTATCCTATACATAAAACCAGTGATCCATAAAATTCTGTAAATTTGTACTCTTTCATAGACGTCTCTCAGTGCTATATAGTATTTAGAATGATGAAATAGACCCCCCAAAAAAATGGACTCAGACTTGCCAAGAATCATGAAGATGGCCAGGACCAGCTGGCAATTTGGTTTATTATACATAAGCCCTCCGTGAGCCAGAACTGACTTGACGGCAGCTAACAAGTTACCGAATCAGTTAATGAAAAAGCAGAATACTGGCCTTTTCTATTTCTTCCAGTACTTTTCATCTTTACATTCAGCTGATTGTAGGCTTCTGATCTTTTAAAAAATTTAGCTCTAGGTAAATCAAGTCAATGATCGGCTGCTTAAGAGTTGCTACAGTGTGAACAAAGCATTTATCTTATGGACCATCTTATTTGAGAAAAATATTACCTGAGAGTCTTCTGTGTCTGACCCTAATTTAAACTGCTTTAAAGGAGGATTACATGTCCAGTGGACAGTTTTCTTGACTGTAACTAATTATTTCATTTTAGCTCAGTTTCTAGGACCACACTGGGAATAGACATAACATTTTAGAGTTGTGTTTTGTTTTTTTTTTAATTTTTTTATTTTATTATTTTTCTGTGCGTGTACCGTCAAATCAGATCTGACTGGTACAGGAGGAGATTGTCCCTCCTTCCCCGGCAGAGCATCTGGTGGATTTGAACCGTGCGCCTCTGGGATTATAGTTGCAGCTTCTTACCACTAGGCCACCAGAGCTCCCCTCATTTTAGAGTTTTGAGTCTATCTTTTTAAAGGAGAAAAAGGAATACTTTTAAGTTTAAAGAAAAATCATCACAAAGCATTTTGAAGCTAAGTATATTTAACTCCAACAAGTACTTGAGGACTTTCTTATTTCTTTTTATGTGCTTAGAAAACTATATTGGTTTCATTACAGAATTTGCAGGTTTAGGTAGTAAGTGCTCTAGAACCAGCCACCCCAAGTGTAGGTGCTCTACTTTATTAGAAGGCAGTAGACTGGCTAAACCAAAATATTGACTAGCAAAGTAAACTTTCTTTATTCCTTTAGGGAGAGATTCAGTCCTTCTGAAAGACAGATGATTAGATTTCTCATCTTGTGTTTTTTTTCAACTTGCTTAAGAGAAAGGAACAAATTTAACATTTTGCAACTGTTGTCTGATTTTGATATTTTTAATAGAGGAACACCTTTAATTTGGTAACTATCTTAATTTTCTACTCTTGCCATAATAGAAATATCACGTAAGTGGGTAGCTTTAAAAAACGGAATTTCATTTTTGCACAGTTTTGGAGGATAAAAGTCCAAAGCAGACTGTCGGCTATGTCTTCCTTCCCTGTAGATAGTCCTAGGCATTCCTAAATTCCTTAACTTATAAGAAGTATTCACATGGCATCTGCCATCCATGTTCCTTCCTCCCCACTGTGTGCAAGTCTCTGTGTCTTATCTGCTTTATTTTACTACTCAGTAGGTAGATTTACAACCTACCCAACTCAGAAATGAACTAGATCTACCATATAAAAACCTTCCGTCTGCTGATGTGTTGTTGTGTGGTGTGTACTGTTGAGTCATAACTGAGCCTCCTGAAGAGCCGCTGGTGGATTTGAAAAGAATACTTCTGTGTTAACAGAGTAATTCCTTACCAGTAAACCCCTTTCCACTGATATAGCACTTACAAATTCCAATACTTCGTGAGTAAGGACAGCAATATTGGTGCTTTTGGTAGTGAAGAAATTCTCTCTTGATAAGGGGGAGTGTTCCTTTCTAGTTGCGAATTGAGCTTTATATTTTTTTTTTCTGGAGTGAGCACAGTAAATTAATTCTATGGAATGATCTACCTGAAAATAAGAACAGATTTCTGTGTGTTTGATACAGAACATAGATGACAGAGTGCTGAGACAGCTCAGATTACTCTAGAACTGAACCCTGGTAAATCTCAAAACAATCATGCCGAATAAAAGAAGCCAGACAATGTAGGAGTTCGTTTATTTATATAAATGGAATATTTAATTTGTATAAAATTCTAGAAAATGCATGCTAACCTGTGAGCATATAAAGCAGATCATTGGTTAACTGGGACTATTGGAGAGATAAAAAAGGGAGTAAAGGGTGGCATGAGGAAACTTGAGGAAATTGGATATGCTCACTGTCTCGCTTTGGTTCTGATTTCACAAGTTGCATACATGTGTCATTATTCATCAGTTGTACTGTTTAAGTATATAAAGTTATCCTGTAATTTCTACATCAATTGAAGTTTTTAATGAAAGAATTAAGTTTAGGTACAGTATTTATCAACGGACTCTTTCTAAAATATGGAGAGGCTACTGAAGAAAATGTCACATATGTAAAATACAAATCTGCATGTAAAGTTTAAGAATGTGTACACACCTCTCATGTAATGCATTTGATCTTTCTTTAGGAGTCCATAAAAGCTGCTGAATTTTGTTGAAGATGTCTAACAGTAACACTACACAGGAGACCCTGGAAATAATGAAAGAATCAGAAAAAAAACTGGTAGAAGAATCTGTAAACAAAAACAAGTTTTTATCTAAGGCTCCAAGTAAAGAAGAAATTGAAAAAGAAGGCGAAGATACCAGTTTGCGCCAGGAAACACAGGTAAGAAGTCAAAGTACATAATATATGCAAATCTTTATGTTTCAATCAAAATGTCATTAGATTAGATGGCATTGAAACTCACAGTCTTGTTGGTCTCTAAAAACTCTAGCTTCACCTTTCAAGAAGCATTTCGGTTTTTGTTAACATCCACAAGGAGGTCTTAAAAACAGAAAAAGAGTCATATCTCAAATATATTTGAGCCTGAGTTCATGGATACTTGGCCACATTTGCTGCATATGGTATATACAAACACCTGTTTAACAAATTATGTAATGGTTCATACTTATAGCTTGTTAAGTATGTGTTTGCATACAGTTTATATTTTTTGATAGCTTGAAATACCAATGTGCTTGCTTGTCCCAAGTGCAGTGAAGTCCACAACTAATTGATAATAGGCAGTTATAAATTACTTGTAGTTCTGGCAGGTTAATGGCAAGGCATTGCCCTGCCAATGCAAAAGTACATGATTCAAATCCACCACCTGCTCTTTGGGGGACAAATGGGCAATCTCCCATGCAATTTGTTGTTGTTTATTGTTGAGTACCATAGGATTGGAGCCAACCCATAGCTGACCCTCCGGCAGGTTTTCAGAGGCAGTTAATCGCACAGGAAATTGCCCATCCTTCTTCAGCTGAGTGATGGTGGCCTTGAACCTCATGCCTTTGGATTTGCAGCACAGCTTCCTGCCACTAGGCCTCCAGAACTCCCTTCCATGCAATTTATTGCCTCTGAAAACCTGCTAGAGGATCGGCTAAGGGCCGATTACCTTTCTACAGTAAATAATAACAACAACAAAATGGTTTATATGTTAATCTCTTAAGACCAAATTTGCCAAGCTTTATATACACTAATAATTCATATCCTCGTTATGTTAAAGCATTCAACATTTTGTAAGTAAAAAAGAGTCTCTGAACTTGTTACTTGGTCAATAAAAGCAAAAAGAATTTCCCTCTTTGCTCTCCAGGTAGTTTTGTCCTCTGAATTCATATGGCATTGTAGAAATGGTGACAGTGGATAACTAATCAACCTCTTTCAGGATTCCTCTTTGGTGCCCAGTCAGCCTGGTATCCGAGTCTCCTCTCGGAGATATTTTCTTGGATCAGGAATCAGAACTCAGAACATCTTTTCGTTAGAAGAGTGTTACAAAAGGCATTTTGAGATGTCTAGTCCTGCCTAGTCCAGCATGATGGTTATTCTCATGTTTCCATTACTCAAACTCAAATGAGATAAATCTTTTCCTTAATGCCCAGGAGTCAGACTGATCTTTGTTATAATCTCAGGCAATATTATTTTAACCAGTAGTTAGTTTAAAATGCAAGAGCAGCAACATTTTGAAAGGCTTAGAAACTTGAAGTATAATTTCTCTAGTTATCCCGGTTTACCTAGGCTGTATCATCTTTAAAGATTAAAACACTGAACAGCAAATACAAAATTATAAATGAGTAACAGGAAGTTCTCTATAAGTTCTCTTTTTGCTGGTAGGCTGTTTTTCTACCGTTATCTTAATTTTTGTCCTCACTGCTTCTCTTTCTGTTCTCTTTTTGCATGTTACCAGTTATCATTCCTCTTTCATCATTTTGGAGATAAGACTATCTGCCACTGTTCCAACTATGCTTCCAGACTCCACTGATATCAAGAAAAACACTTGGGTCCAAGTTATTCTGTTCTCAAAAAAGTGTATAAGTGATGTTATGAATTCCTGTTGTATATACTTTATGACATAGGAGAGGGGAGGGAGAGGGACATCTATGCATTTTATACTCTCTGTGGATGTATAAAAATGCCCTCACTTGTTTATACAAATAGATTTCAGAAAAGTGAGGAGGCAGTCTCCTCTGATTGGACTTCTTTTGCTGCTGCTATTGTAGGCACCCTAGTCCATAGGGACTTGAGCTGCTAACCCAAAGGCCTCCCTGATGGTTTGAACTACCAGCCAGCGAAGTGGGAGAGGATAGTGAGTGATTTACAGCCTTGGAAACCCAATGGAATGTCATTGGAATCTGTTCTGAGTGAGTGTAGAGAGCTGTTACCTCCACCCACTGGTGCTTCGGAGCCCTCCCTAAAGTCTTGGGTATTTTTTAGCCATTCACCCCCACCCCCCATCCTATTGAGCAGTGTCTTAGGAAGCTTTTCTTCCTTGTACTGTTTTTCAGCAGGTCTTATGTCTCTTGATCTCTTGTGGCCTAATGGTAAGGAGCTATGCAGCCAACCCAGGACATGTCGTTTAAATGCACCAACAGCTCCATGAGAGGAAAATAGGCAATCTAATCTGGTGTGATTTATTATCTCTGAAAACCCATTGGAGGCTCAGCTGAGTCAGTCCCTACTCAACAATACATAACGGCAACTTATGTTTCTTCAGTAGTGCTCTGAGGGAGAAAGATGGGTAGTCTTCTTTAAAAAAAAGTAAAGTTAGAATCTTCGAAACCTGAGTTACTGTGAGTCAGAATGGATTCAATGGCAGTGGGGTTTGGGGGCAAGATATTTTCTTCTATCAGGAATCAGAACTCAGAACATCTTTTCATTAGAAGAGTGTTACAAAAGACATCTTGAGATCAAACATCTTCTTAATGTGAATTTAGTTGTATCATTTAAAACATCATTAAAATAACTGGATATCTAATTGTGTTCATTCTCTTCAAACTACTACTGTGTGTCCTGGTTCCTTAGGCTAAATTTTAGACATATTCCTTTGCCTTCTAGCCCTTGGTCTGTGATATACTATGTACTTCAACCTTATTTGATTTCTTTTGTATTTATTCTAAAACTAAAAAACCTCAAATTCATTGCTTTTGGGTCAGAACTGATTCATAGCTCACTCCATTGGGTTTCAGAAGTTGAAAAATCACGTGACAGGAGATTGCCCAGCTCTCCCACAGAACAAGAAACTAGTGAATTAAAACCATGTAAGAGTCACAACCTTTGGGATAGCAGTGCAACTCCCTACCACCAGAGCTCATTTTTTTTTATTTTATTTTATTATTTTTTTGTGTGTATCGTCAAATCAGGTCTGACTGGTATAGGAGGAGATTGTTCCTGTTCCTCCTTCTCCAGCAGAGCATCTGGTGGATTTGAACCACAGAGCTCATTCTTTAAAACAACTCAAAACAGTTCATTGCTGTCCAGTCAGAACTGATTCATAGCTGACCCTCCAGCAGGTTTTCAGAGTTTGTAAGTAGCACAGGAAGAGATTGTCCAGGAGCATCTCCCAAGGAGCAGCTGGTGGGTTCAAACAACCTACCTTTGAGTTGGCAGTGTAACCCCTTAACCTCTAGACCACAGGCCTCCCTATTATTATAAAGGGAAGCAAAAATATTTGGGGAAAGCAAGCTTTTATGCATGCTTTCTTGGCCTGAATGGTTTCTTTGATATTTTTTTCATTACTTCCTCTATCCTCTGAACCTTAATCCTCCAATATCTATTTTACCCAACACTTCATTGCCATTCAGTTAATTCTGACTCATAGTGATCCTAAAGTATAGAGTAGAATTGCCTCCTTTGGTTTCACAACTCAATCTAAATGTGTCTTTGTCCAGGAAACCTTCTACACAGCCTTACCTATTTCAGGGCAATATTCATTCCTTCAATTAATGTCTCTTCACAGAGTTTAATCTCTGTGAGACTAATGATATGGTTAGTTTTGGATTTTTACTGTATCTCTGAGACCTAGCATACACTCAATATTTGAATTTATTTACTTACTAGTAGATCTAAGTTAGATACTTCTGTTCTATGCTCCTATAACACTACTTGTCTACTTATAGAATATACTGTATTATAACTGTTTATCACTTCTCTAAAAGGATTATGAGTTTCTTTTTCATTTTTGTTGCTGTTTTTCTGTACCATCTACTTGGACCAACCTTCAGCTGATCCTCTGCTGAGTTTTCAGAGGCAGTACAGGAGGAGATAGCCCATCCTCCTGCAGAACAGCAGCTGGTAGATTTGAACCATGTGCCTTGGGGATTGCGGTGCAGCTTCTTGTAACTAGGCCACCAGATTGTCTTTTATCTTTGTATCCTTCAGTAGCTAGCATTGTGCTTGGCACATGTTAGTCTTTCAGTATGTGTTTGACTTCTGTTAAATGAAATTTCCATTCTATAAAATAAGCAGGAGTGTAAATTGAAGGCCAATTTGATAATGCTTTATAAAAAGAGACAAATACATACTTTTGAAATTTATCCTGCAGATATACTATATTTGTAAATATATTCAAGGATCTGGTCATTAAATTATTGCAGCAAATGCAAGTAGCAAAAGAACAGCAACATCCTGTGTGGTAATAAGTTAAGAAACTTATAAAATAGGACCACACAATAGAATACTACATAGCCATTAAAAAATACCAGAAAATCACAGCAGGGTAAGTTATCTGTAAAATAATAGTCTATTTTAAAAAGTTGAGGCAAGATTCAGTAATGTTTACAATGGACTTCTGTTTGGTTAAAAAAAAAAACAATTGCGTGTATGCATGTGCACAAAAGATCTCTAGAAAGACCTGCAAGAAAATGTAATTGTGATTAACTGGTTAGTAGGCAATCTAAAGCTGGAGGACTTGTGAAAGGGACATTTATTGTTACTTAGTCTCCCAATATAGTACTTAGTTGTTTGCACCACCTGTTTATACTAGCTCTGTAGAGAGTTGTACTGCTAACCCAAAGGCCAGCTTCTCTTGTGGTTCAAATCCACCAGTTGTTGTTGTT